CGTTCGTCTGTTTTTAGTAGCAGGGGCTGTTGGAACGTCGCAAAACCAGCTCGCCTTCTGGCAACACGGCTTGTTGTACAATGCCCTCCAACTGGCCTTCAGCCACGTAGCCCAGCTTCCAATCAAGGCAGAGGTTGGTTATCTCTCCCGTCAACTCATATTTTTGCTGTCCTGTTAAGATTGTGATTGCAGGCTCTAGTCACCTGCGCCGACATCATCAGGGGTAACCCTAGCCTTCAGGAGGGATTCGCCCAGCTCCAGGTCCCGTCGCCCCTCGGACCTCCTACGCCGAATGAAGCTGGCCAAACGAATGGCGTTGTCAAAGTCTACGTGATTGACGGCCTTTTGGACCTTACCCTCAGCGTGCAGGATTCAGAGGCCTTTGATCTGCGTCTTGCAGCATGCGACTGCCTCAAAGCTTACTTTCATAACCACACTGACATTCGTCTGCACTTTCTGCGAAGGGCCATTGAAGGACATAATACCGGGGCTGATGAAACTGCCAACGTGCTGACAGTTCTGCTGCGGCCCTCTTCCGACGCCGCCGTGGCCAATCCCTATCGTAGTTGGTTCGCTGCCACTATCATGTTGCATCTTGTTTTCGATAACCCTGAGGCAAAGAGCATGGCTATGGCCGTCACCGAAGGCGATGCGAAGAACGGAGAAGAAGTTGTCACGAGTATTCAGACCATTGCTGCGCATCTGATTTCCGGACTGAACCGCGAGCAAGATAGTCGAGTTGTGGTAGGGTATCTGATGCTGCTTCTTGGTTGGCTATTTGAAGACTTGGACGCCGTCAACGACTTTCTGGGGGAAGGAACCAATACTCAAAGCCTTATTCAGGCCGTGAATCATCCATACCCATCTGGTGACGTTGTTCAGGGGCTCTGCGCCATGCTACTGGGCGTGCTATACGAGTTCTCGACCAAGGACTCGCCTATTTCCCGTGCTGACCTTCACAGCATACTCGTCTCACGGATGGGACGCGAGCGGTATATTGACAAGCTGACCAAGTTGAGAAGCGATCCGCTCGTCAGGGATTTTGAAGTGATTCCTCAAAAACTTGGTAACTCGGGCTCAGGCAAGCTGCCCGATGTGTACTTTGATGCTACCTTTGTCGACTTCTTCAAGGATAATTATAGCCGCATTATCCGTGGTATAGACCGAGACCCTGGACTGGAGATTTCTGTAGTCTCGAACGGTGTTCAGAAGGGAGTTTCCCGGGAGCTCGTTGACTCTCTTCGAGCACAGCTGACCGAAAAGGACCATGCTTTACAAGAAGCGCAAGTCGATCTCGAGACGATTGGCCGGCAACTTGGCCAAGAGCAAGCCGATCACCGGCGGACTCGAGAGACGACTGCGTTGGAGTTGGCAAGAATAAAGCAGATAAACGAGGGTATACAGAGACAGCACGATGCAGAGCTACGGTGAGTACTGTTCTCTTTCATGACGGCTGATAGCTGCTGATTGCTTGGCTAGAAATCTTCACAGTCGGATTGCATCTCTCCAGGAAGAACATCAAAGGCAGGATGACCTGGCCCGAAGAAGGACAGAATCCCAGATCGCAACACTCGAACAGCAACATAAAAGGCAACTGGATGACGTCCAAAGGAATGCTGCCTTTCGAATTACGTTCCTGGAACAAGAGCTCAAGAAACAGGCCGATCAAGCTGAACAGACCGCCAAGGTACAGGCTGCCTCGCAACAGGAGGAGCATCGCAAACAGCTAGAGCAGGCGCGCAAGACGGCCGAATCAGATGCTGATCGTGTCCGCCACCGGGCAGAGGCCGACATGGCAAACCTCAAGGCTACGATTAGCCGACTCGAGGTTGACCTCATGAAGGTGAGCACGCAACGTCGACAAGGGTTTTATGCACAAGACTAATGGTTCTGCAGGCCAAGAAGACAAAGGCACAGGAACTACAAAGCGTCCGGGAAGAATTGGAGAAAAGGTTACAAGAGCAGGAGTCCTTCGTCGCCAAATCTGAGGCCCGTGTCGAGCAGCTTGAAAAAGACATGCGTGAGACTCGGGAGAAGGCAGTCCATGTAAGAATCAGTCCTCGCAATGTCGGCCGGCGAAAGAATCACTACTAACCCAGTTTCCCTAGTGTGAAGTGGCCGTCAAAAAGGCCGAGGAAGACAAAAAGACAACCCAAAACGAGCTTGACGATTTGCTCATGGTATTTGGCGACCTTGAGGAGAAAGTCGCCAAATACAAGGTCAGTAAACTCTATGCGGTGGTCGATTTTCGGTCTAGACTAAGGCAATGCTTGTGTAGGCAAAGCTTGAAGAACTTGGAGAGACCGTCTCTGACGGCGAAGATGATGAAGACGAGGAGGAGGAAGATAGCGACGAGGAATAAGAGAACAACGAGAACGGGGAGGACAATGAAGCAAAGAGCAAAGACATGAATTACTCCAAAGCGTAGCGGCCTTGTGCGCAAAAAGCCGTCCACACATATATAAGTATCCGAATCATGACCGACAACTGATATTATTGATCGAGCCTTGTCCATCAGACTCATGCTAGGGCCTTGCATGTCTTGAACAAACATACCAGAAAAGAACGGGCAATACGTAGTCTATGAAGCTGTGCCGTCCGCTTCCATAGTCAAGGCAAGCGGTCGAACCATTTGGTTTTCTCTGGTCTTCCGCCGCACAGAGCATAAAGTCCTAGATGTCCGAGAGATTAAATGGTCTGTGCTTGGCAATTGGCGCAATGTATTGATTGGCATATCATTTTAAGATAGACATTGTACACAACACCACGACAGGCCTGCGGAAGCGGCTTGCCGTTCCATAACAGTGACAAGGGCTAAATTTAATCCGGTCTCCTCACAGGATGCCCACAACGGACCATGCCTCAATAATTGCCTTGGGCAGTAAATTGTTGCTAAGGGAGGAATGTTCTTATCTCAGCTTCCAAAGCTGCGTCCTCGTCTCTTGGGTAGGCGCAGTCCACGTGTTGCTAATGGTCAGCGCGCGGGGGTTGTTTTCAGGCGCCTTGAAGACAACACGACCAGAGATTTCGGCCCCAGCCTTAGCACCAATGTTCTCCTCGAGATACTTGCTCATCAGAAAACCCTGCTTCCAGTGGGTGTCGGGACCTGAGGGCCCGGTGGTGAAGGCTACTTCGCCGGGCCGGGCCACACCCGTCTCGCCAGTCTTGACCTGCAGGCCGGCCGGGATTATATCATTGCGAGAAGTAGTAAAGAAGATGTCGAACCAGATCAGGAAACCATCCAACGATGGAATATCTTTAGATAACGTCATTTTCCACTGAGCCTCAAAGTCGAGGTCTTCGACCTTGACGGTGTGCAGATCAATGTACGAGATCTGCGAGGGGGTGCCGCAGATGCAGTCCTCAGGCATAATCTCGATACGGGCTTCGTCGTAAATGCCAGCCTTCATCGACTTCATGTCGAAGCCGTAGACGTCGTCCCAGAAGGTGACAAAATCAGTGACGTATCCAGGGTCCGATACGGGGGCCATCCAAATGGTCGAGATGCTCGGGGCAATCAGACCATCGGGTTTCAGGAAGCGGTCTCTGGCGACGAGGACACTATTCATCATGGCCTCGTAGAGTAGACAGTAGCCCATCCATTCACTGATGATGATGTCAACCTGGTCGACGGGGAGGCTGATGTCTTCGACTCTACCCCTAATGCAGGTGACCTTGTCTGCAAGCCCATTGATGAAGACATTCTCCCGGGCCTTATCGATGATGTCCGACTTGTCAACGGCAAAGACCTGCTTCGCGCCGGCTTTGGCGCAGAACATACTCAAGATACCTGTGATGTAGTGATTGCGTTGCTTAGCCGACTTGTCATTCAACCATTTCTGGCCCAGAAAAACACTCACCGGTACCGCAACCAATATCTAGTACGATCTTGTCCTTGAATAGAGACTTGTTGTTATAGACGAAGTCGCGGTATGAGTCAGTCCGGACCTTATCCTTTAACATGGTCTCATGGATATCTTAAGAGGTGATCAGTAGACCGACCAGTACGAGCAAGAGGAGAGAAGCGGGCAAAAAGGTACCGTTAGCGGCGTAAGACTCCCAGTAGTACTGAGATTCGTCCTTCCGATCTCCCTTATTATCAACGTCACGCGAGCTATCGTCCTGTGTGGCAACAGCAGTGTCGTCTCCCCAACGCTGATCGAGGGTCTGCTCGACAGCAGCGCGGTAGCTGGCGAACTGCGACTTGAGCTTCTCAAGCTCCTCTGCCAGTTGGGCTTCCCGCGAAGAAGACGGCTGAGCGGCTTGCTGGATGGCCTCTGAATACTCATCGCCCAGGTCCAACTCGGTGAGTGCCATTATCAAGGCATCATCCTCGATGACAGGCTTCATAAAGCGATCATCAGCAATGTCCTCGGCGGAGATGGCTTCGGGTAAGGTAGCGCCGTCGTGAATAAGTTGACGAACTAATGGAGACCGTTAACGTTCCGTATCGTCTTGCCCAATGCCTGGCGTCTGGAAAAGATATTGGCAGGGTAGGGAGTTACCAAAGTTGACAAGTTTAACCGTGCCAAAAAAGTCGAGGTCGAGACGGCGACGGACAGCGAGGAGGTCAAAGTTGTACTTCTCGCGACAGTGCTGTAGCATGTCGTTCATGTTGTGGAAGACTGAGTCGTCGAGCAGAGAAATGAATGCCACAGTCTCCTCCTCCTCGGGCTCGGCGTCTTCCCAGTCAGACTCATCCGATGAGCCATCCGACTCGGCGAAACCCTTGCTCTTGAGACCGTCCTGAACCATGGCGATGACGAAGGAGAATTGGTATCTTTGGTCAACCCGTCAGCCATTTGGCGGTGCTGTTAGGATCTAGGAAATGCGGTATATTGATGCTCACCTGTTCCCGCTTATTCTCGGTATAAAATCCGGGCGTTTGGCTCTATAGTTGGGCTGAGTTGATCTCACGTTCAGATTACAAGCCTTGCGTAAGTGAGTGGGCAAGTGACAATAGCACGAATGTGAGACGGATGGTTTTTTTTGTTTTTTTTTAACCCTCCAAGCAGTGTGGGACTGTGCTGGTCCAATGTGCTTAAGATCTAGATGGCGCAGATGCAGGTGCGGAAAAGGGCCCGACCTGACTGTTGATTTCAAGGTGGGATTTTAATTATTATTTCGTTGAAAATCTCGCTTTCACATTTCCCCTCCTTCATTCTCTTTCTCACTCTCTCCTGATTTTATGTCCTATTTTCTTCTTCTATATTATTGTTCTATTTGCATTTTGGGGAGATTTTCGCCTTTGGTTTTGATTTTGATTGTGGAGCCGAACTCAGCCAGCAAGGAGAGGGGAATGGCCCAACTCAGCGCAAGACGTATGTGCTCTTTTATCCGAAGGATTGACGAATTGTCATTTGTCTTCCTGTTGTTGCCCTCTCACAGGCTGGCCCATCTTACCCTTTTGTGCGCTACCTACCTACCTAGAACACACAGCCGTGCAGCCGTTCGAAGAGGGCCAATGGGGTGCTTTAGTTTCGATAAAGGCATATTCCCTGTGTCGGCTCAGTAGAGGAGCCACGGCCTACTTGATACCAACTACTATGTAAATTTGCGACTGAACAATTCGCTATAATCAACACACTGAGTATGATTCTAGCTTCAAACCCTCTCTCTCTCTCACTTATCTGTTTCCTTCTTCTCCACGCTCCTTGGCCAAGACATGCCTATACTATAGATGTCCCCACTCCACGCACTACTAGAGATTTGCATCGCAGAGTATCGTAACTCAGCCCCAATGTTAGTCCTAGTAGTGCGGCACGCCAATGCTCTGCAAGATAAGGTTAACAATACTGAGGAACCCCTCGCCAAGAATGAATCCCTAAGGAAAAAATGCATTAGTCGCGCGTCTCATCATGCGCAGTTTCCAGATGCACTTACCGAAGCCAATACAATCAACGGCGTGCCCGACTTGCCTCGTCTTGTGATCCAATACCAGCTGAGCATACCACCAATAGTCCTGGCCAAAGTGAAAGATGGCACGTTGTACATTCCTAATGCCAGCTCAGTGCCTGTACATTGCCTCTGCATCACTGCAATCACTTACCGACTGCCACAGCAATGCCTCCTGGTACGAGCGGCCGCCACACCTTACCGACCGTAGTCGTCCGAACAATCGTCGTCACGGCGAAGATGATGCCAAACCCAAGCGCCCACTCGCGAGCCATGGGTGGTAAACCTTTGCCGGTGACCAGCCTAGCCGTGAATATCCATACATATCCCGTAGGTACCTGAAATAAATCACCAGGAATGGTGTAGACCCTGGTATAGAACTTGTCAGTGGCCTTCACGCAGAAGGACAAGCCTGCAAAAATCAAATCACAGCCGAGACTCACGCTGTATATAACTGATACACAAAGGCACTGACAATGGCGCCCGCTGTCGCTCCAATTACCTGACCCCAGAATTGGGCGTTAGGTGCGGCACCGAGGAGATGGCCTGTTTTGAGATCTTGCATGAGATCACCCGCTTGCAGGGCACCCTAGACATGTCAGCTTGCATCGCAGAGAGGCTGCCCATAACATGTACATACTGCTTCGGACTATAGCAAAGGTTAGCAACGAGTCGCACAACTAGTCAGGTGTATAGTCGATGATGACTTACCACGGCACCTGCCACCAGATTGATTAACACACTCGATTTGTGCGACTGAGGAATGATGAGAGCAAAGAATAGCTGCGCAAGTTTGCTAATCCCAGACACGGGGTTAAGATCAGTCTCGCCGAGTGCTCGGACTCCCATGATGCTCAGGAGAAGTGCCATGAGAACAGCGACGACTGTCGCGTAAAGCGGAACCAGGTCGCCAAAGACGATGTGGATGGTCGCGATGCACAGCAGTATGGATAAGATGAGGCCGACTCCCACAAGCTTGTTGCTGATTTGCTGCTCCAGTGGCGCGTCTGCCTCATTCAACCGGAAATTGTCGTTCGTCGACACTGAAGCTCTGCGAAGGAGGCCTGCTCTTTGTGTTGCCCCAGGCAAAAGCCTAGAGGTACTTGTTGCTTCCTCGTCCTCGTACGTGTTCAGGGCGGAGTAGCCCGGACTCAAGCCGCGGCGAGTGTCCATATATTGTTGCCCTTCGTCGGCAGCTTGCTGCCAAAGCCCCTCGAATCCTCCATTGCGAATACGGCACGCCAGGGGCCGGGAAGCGATATAGCCAAGGCTGACGATGGCATCGGCAAGCATGATGGCTAGAGAGACCCACACAATCCAGCCTTTACTGCCAGTCTCCCAGTCGTCGATGGAGCCTGGGGCCCACCCCCGATACTTTGCCAACGGAGACAGCACGCCCCATCCGATCATCGCTCCAAGAAGCATGTGCAAAGTCGTCTCGGAGCCCATTATGATGCCCTGACCAATGTAGGCCGGGCTAGGATTCAAAGTCCACAACCAAACACTGGCAGTCTTGGTACCGAAGATGGGAATACTCCGTAGCCTAGGGAAGAAGTACGAGCAGAGCGTGTAGAAGCCCGAGACACCGAAACACATCAGCAGTAGTCTCATGTTTCGCGCCCAGTGGTCTGGTGTCCCGTTATCTGGTTCGCCGATATTGGCGTTCTCGGGGTCCGTGATACTTGCAATGCGGCTATGGTCGGACTCTGCTGCCGAGTCCGACTTGGCGTCTTGATGCGGGACCAAGCTTGCAAAGCCTCCTGATACGGCGTCAGGCCCAGCCTTGCGTGTCTGGCCGTGAAGAACCCCAATGAGCACGGCTGTACTGAACCCGCTAGGAAACCGCAGCCTCTCACGGATGATAACCTGCCGTCGGCTGGTGCCGTTATTTAGAATGAGACTCGATTGGTGGCCATTTTGCGACTGACTTACAGCGGAACGGCAAAAACGACGCCAAAGTAACAAAGGCCCAACGACCATAGAATCAGCTTCCAGAGAGGAATGATCAGGGGACCCTGTTCCTCGGGGGCTAAAAGATAATTCATGGCAGGAATCTGGATTTGTTAGCCATTGACCTGGCGTGTTTTCCCTTTATTTCGATGCATGCAGCCGGCGGAAGGAGATAGACAGAAACCTACCACACCAACAAACCCGCAACCAAGAGGCATGATGGCCATGCTTCCTGCTACGGTCTGGACGAGCACATTCTCTACAGGACTGAAGGGAAAATGCAGGTGACGAGAAAGCGCCTTGAAAACGCCGAAGCCCATCAAACTGGCCGGCATCGTCATGGTGCTTACCCAACCAGTCTGCAGGCCAAAGTACATATTGGAGAAGCAGATAACCAGGCCAACCAGAAGCCCCACTAGAATGCCACGTAGAGTGAAGCTGTGGCCGCGAATGACGGGTCCTTGCCTGAGTGCATCTTCAGTGTTGGTAATTTGCGCATGTGAAGTGCTAGGTTCGCCAACATCGCGGTCATCGTTCCCGTCATCATTGTCGCGGTATCCCCGATCAGGAGCCATGCTTCCTCCTTTGCACGGCAGCTGCTAACGCTGCGATAGAGAATCAAGAAGTCGAGCAAATGTCGCAAACCTGAGGCCGATTGCTCGATGGAGAAGAAGGGGAGCGTCGAGTATTATGGTTTTGCTATCTGATGGATCGATGCGACGATAGTGGCGGCGTGTTGACCAACCCGATGTTTGCGGAATTGCGGAGGAAGTTGCAAGTCAATTACATAAGGCAGCATGAAACAGTGTTGTCGAAACCCCTCATTGAAGCATGAAGACGATATGGGATCCTCGATCGGTTCCTTATCTCCCGAATCCCCACGTCCATGCCAAGTGGAAGCGCGCCTCGGGGAGGCAGACACAACTGCTCTAAGATTCCCTTCATCCCTGTATCTAACGCTAGTCCGGGTCCGGTGCCGGCCCGGGCAGAGCCCGGTACATGTAAGCACATACTGGACGGTGACGTAATTAGGTACTGATGGATTGTCTCCGCTTAATAAGCACACTATACTACACAGTTCATTTCCTGTGAACCCACCTCTCGTTCAACTAACAAAGCCCGGTATTTCTCAATGTCTGGCCTTCGTAGCAGGTTACCTATGCATATTGCGAGGCCAATGCCTTGTAACATAACCACATGGAAATACTGCACTGCTTGTTAGGTATGGGCCGCTGACTAGCCAGCAAAGCTCTTCCTGTGGTCACTCCTAGAACCCGAAGTTATCGAGCAACGAACTCGAATCCGGCTCCTGGAAGACTGTCGGATTCGGCTGTTTTCCCAGCACACCCGATCTTATCCCAACGTGAAGACTCGACATAGGCAAGTCTGCTACCACTAGCGAACTACGACGGCGCAACATCTTCAGCGGGTTGACTTCACCGCCTAGTCCATTTGCCGTGCTGGATGCTGGTTTTAGGAACTCCCAGTTGCGAACTGCGCATTTGTCAGCTTGAGAACTCACTCGGCGCAGCCATATGGTACATACCCAGGTCCAGACCAAGAAGATCGCAACCCATACGGTCGTAGAGCTTGGCGCTGTGAAGGACAAATTCCCACTCGACGCGTGGAGTAACCTTCGACGCCCCGCGGAGGGTTTGGAGCGTCTTTTGGCGTAGCTGCGAGTACAACACCACCAATGCCGGGTCATCTGTCAAGAAAAGTTTCGACCTCATGTCAGGCGCACATGGCGTTTCCACCAAGGTGTAAACGGGGGACTGTAGTGAAGGGCCTATGTTAGAAACAGCGACGACTCTTTGTTTACCTTACCATGGACCGACGCGGGGGCAACTTACAATGAGAGCTCTAACCGCCATATCCTTACGATTCAACATATAAAAAGCCCATGATGCAAGCCAGCGGTTGCCCTCTTTAGCTGCCACAGCGAGGACCTCCTCTTCTAATAGCTTTTTCAATACTGGACCGTGGTCGCCCTCATATACCCGTGCAATTGCCACGGCGAGCTGAAGGTCCTTGAGCTGATTCAGACAGACGCTAACGGCGTCCTGCAATTGATCAGCGAGCAGAAAGAACGCTGCTGCATACTCTACGCGCCCGAGGCGTTGTTAGCACCCAATGATGTGTGAACCCGTTTGTTACTTACCAAAACGTCGTTTACTGAGCAAGGCGTAAGCATTCTTCAGCGCTGTTGTCCGCCACTTGGGCTCTTCAAAGTTATTGGCCAGCAACTTCTGTGTTGCCCCTTGCTCTTTATTCCAGTGAGCCATACGCCACAGTCCCTGAAGGATTGTCTTCTTCTTGAGGGCCAAATAGTAGATGCTACAATCCACTGGGTTTTTCATATCACTCTTTGTGTATTCGTTGCGGGCCACATTCTCAAATTGCACACGCTAGGAGTAACATTAGCCTACCATGTACCAGTCGATAGCCGAGAAAAGCATACGCACCAAAGCATTGCGGTCACTGAGCCACATGAACATGCCGCTCTCTCGCGCATCTTCCCAGCGCACAGTGCCGTGGCATTGTTTGGTAACAAAGTCGGTGAGAATGTCTTGGCTAGTTGAATGGTAAGCCCAGTTGATTTCTCGCCACGACATCTGCATCTCGCTTGTCCGGCCCTTGCGAAGGCCGTGCTGGCGGAAAAAGAGCATGAAACGCGCTCCATTTTCATCCAGTGACCTGCGCTGCTTTTCCACGAGCCCGACACATTCAACAATGTCCGCTAGTTGAATCTGCTCGTGGCCCGACAACTGCTGAAGGCTGACCTTGGTCAGACGTTCGTTGATGGAATGCGCAATGTCCTCGCTGAACGATTCATCCGCCTCGTCGTTGGATGCTTGAAGGCTAAAGTGGGACCCCAATTGAGCTTCTGATGCTTTCGTTGCCTACCAGGAATGTCAGTGATAGATTCTTCTTCAAACCGTGATAGCAATATATTCCTCCCTTTCCCCCATCGTCGCCCACATAAGCTACATGAGCAAAATAGAGAAGTATTTACCTCGTTCATATAAAAAACTGCCGGGTCTAGGCCCAAATAGTCATCAACGCTCTCGCCGGCAATAAGGAACTTCAGTGTTTTGTGCAGAGACATGAGCACGGCCCGCACTATCGTATTCTTACCCGCGAGGATGCACTGACTCAAGAATTGTGGATGGAAAACCGGCAATGGCCCGTTAAACCTCTGAACGGCTTCGAATATGTCCCAGACGCCGTTCTTCCGGTGCGGAAGTTGCAGGCTGTTGATCAGCGAGCTAGATAAGTCGTAATCTCTCCCGTGAACAAACATCTGATTCCCAGAACCAATAACGAGATGGCCGTCACCTAGCCACGTGGAATCGCCTATGGGATGAGGCGTAAACTCACGAATACTGATCTCTCGAACTGCAGCCCAAGCCGGCCCCTTGTTCAGGTAGTCAAACCGCATTTGGCAAAGTAAAACTACCTTTGACTGGAAGCCGACGGCAAGTATCGATTGCGAATCTGGTGTTGAAGTCCAGTCAAGGTCCTGAATGGTGTTGTGCGTACCATAGTCCTGTGTGAACTCGAGTCGAGCGCCGCCAATGTCCCAGATAAATAATTGTGACCTGCTGGAATCGACGAGCGCAGCTTTCTTAAGAGTGCTACCACTAACGAGAGCCGGCTCTGAAAGGCCTGTCTCAGCTGAGGATGTGGAAAGCCACCCGACATGGTTTCCCGTTTTGTCAACTCGAGCTGTCCAAAAGTCTACTCGGCCGGTATGAGTGTAAGATATGGCGATGTCCCTGGCAAAAACATCCAGGAAGCCTGACGTTACCGGCGCAGACCCAGCCGGATCCACGGGAAGCATGTACGCGATTCCTTCAGCATCTCTCAGCTTGAACCTACAAAATTCCCGGATCGATGTCTCGTCTCGACCCTTGGAGTGAGCCTCAATACGCCCGTGAGAGTACCGAGGTAGATTGACCTCCCATACAAGTCCTTCCTGCTCCGAGGTAATCGTGGCAATCTGGGCAACGGCATAGTCCTGCATCCTCTGTCGCGGCAGTATCAGGAGACAAAGCGGTTTCCCTGACACTTTGTATGGCTGGCGATCCAACAACGTTGCTTTTTGTGGCCGACAATCCCATAAGGAGATGGTGTTATTTTCCAGGAACATGACGAAGCGACCCTTGCGTAGAACGCAAATACGATGAATATAAGCATTCCCCGCAATAACGCTCTGGCGCAAAAGGCTAGTCCTGCTGTCCTCAGCATGCGTCCAGACAATGCTTTCGCCCTCCTCTGTTCTAGACACAACAGCTCTACCACTGAAGTTCCGAACCATTTTCTTGATGGGTGCCGAATGGCCGGACCAAATACAGCGGCGAATGAGGCGGTTCTCTTTGTCAACGGCGCCGAGAAAATCTACCAAGCTCGCTTCGTAAACATGAATCTGGCCATCAAAGTCATGGGCTAACACACGCAACATCCCAGTCTGTCGGTCGCAATAGCTCTGTACCTGAACGTGCTGATCAGACCGAAAGTCGAACAGATGCAACTGGAATTCAGTGACTTTGACGGCAGTATTGGACTTGTTCGTCCTGCAGCCGACGTCCTCGAAAGCGTAGACGACCATGTTTCCTGCTCCATCGAAAGCAACACACAGCTCGGGGCTATTATTTGCAAGAGCTATCAAGTTCTCGAGAGCGTCGTCACGCTTCCCTTCCTGAACCGGACGGCGTTGAACAGTTAACTCTGTTGAAGCTGTGATCTCTCTTCCGTCAATGACGAAGGCAAGTAGTGGTGCTGCAGTAATGGCAGATTTGAGACTTTGATCCCGGAGAGACGAGGCTAAGTCGATAGCTCCCCACAGATTCATGTGCCCCAAGGTATGCGTATCTGCGCCGGTCCAAACGCGGACTAAATTATCGGTGCATATAGTATAGAGGGCGTTTTCGACGGTTTGCCCAGCATGATAGGGCTTTCGCCATCGAAGGCCAGTCACTACGTCCGGATGGCGCAGATAGGCCAGGTCGAAGCGTACATCTTCGGCTCCATAAGTTAACCGGCGCCAGATCTTGACTAGGCAATCCTGAAGGCCGACCGACGCTATGTATGCAGAGTCGTAGGAGAGCTCTGCAAGCTTCAGGGGGTTCGGGACAGGTTTTTTCCATAGTTGCGCTGGCGCGTCGGTGGTTTGGTACAGGTAAAGGGCGGAATGTGCAACAAGAAGCTCTTCAGTGCCACCCCAGCTCAATGAGATGCCACTGGCGGCATAATGACCATCGGGAAATGGGAATGATGATTGGAGACCCCACTGGAGCGCAGATATTTTGTTAGCTGTTGCGTACAGGCTGGCGAAGAACAATGGTGACGGGAGAGAAGCTGCGGGTCCAGCACACCTTTAGCGCATCTTCTGACTGTCCGAATGGTCTGTAAACCCTCACGACGGAGTCGGTACAAGTGGCAATCTTGCCTGAAGATTCGTCGAATGCTACGGCCTGCAAGTGGCTCGGATCGTCGTCGTATATGGTCTGGATAATAGTATCGGAGTCACCGAGAATGGTGAATGCACTGCCAGTTATGTATACCTGCATAGCCAGTCGTCAGCGCCATATGCCACCATAGCAGCGATGGGAGGAGCGAGTGCAATGCTCCAGCTGCTCACATTGAAGTGTCTCGAGTCCCAGAAGCCCGTCGTAAGAGCTTGAAGCCCGGACCTTGGCCTGCCAGGGAGCACTGCTCTCATCCTACTAGCAGGATAACCGCAGCAGCATTGCTCAAGTGGATGGCAGGGCGCAAAGGCCGAGGTGATGCAGTACTGGTTGTGTTGTTTGGATGTCGTCGAATGCCGTTGTTAGAGGATGCCTCGGAGCTCTTGGTCTGGAAAGAGGTGTCAAACTGTACGAAAGGTGGATGGATGCAAGTGGAAGGGTTGGGGAAAATGCGGTTTAGGTGAGGTAGGTAGCTCAAGTAACGTAAGGTGCTTCAACTATGACTCTGGAGGACAATTAGGCTATACGTACCTCTACTCATCAAGGCGCAGAATGTGGGGTCAGGGCGGCATGTCGCAATGCAACGCCCGTGATAAGATAAAGCACCCTACCTAGCTGTCTGAACATTGACGCCAGATGCTGCGGCACTTCTGCTTGGCCCTTTTTTTGCCATGGCGGCAGAAATGCCCTCATCAGCTTCACGAGCTACTTCAAGGTCTCTCTCTAATACCAAAGAGCTTCTTCAGCTTCTAAAGTAGCCGCGCAGCAACACAAGGATATTGATTAACATTCTCACAATCTTTAGACACAGCACAGCACCTCATGCAGTTGGAGGCTTGGCTATTGCGTCTTTTCGCTTTAGTTAAGCTTAAGTACCCAAGGTACTGACTTTGTACTAAGCTATTTGATGTTAATCATCTACACTAAGAATGTCGAATCGCGAATAACTTCCATTCACAGCCCCTACCAATGTGCGATAGAGTACCGCCTGGTTATACTTGCCAGTGGTTTCCAGTAATAAAGCAAGCAAATCTTTGGAAGACCCCATATCATGTAAACCGTGATCGTTAAGGCCAATGGCTGTCGCCTTGTCCATAAAAAAAGAAGAAAAAAATCATCATTCATCACTCCCCTCTACTCGAAGCCTCTGGCCTACTTTCATTTCCCGCTCGTCGAGTCTCTGCCACGGAGAGTCTTTGTGCCTGTGCGAAAGAAAGTCTGCTCAGCTGACCCGTAGGAACTGTAGGTACGCTCTTGTTGTAACGCTCCCGGAGCTCTCGCTCAAACGGCGTCGGTAGCGGCGCGAACGGTGTCATGGACGGTAGCCTGACAGAAGACGCCATACCGGTCCATCGCGTTGGCGTATCCATGACGACTCCATCGACATCAGTCGCGGAGCCGGCGCCGTCGTGATCCTCTTCTTCAGCCGTTGGACCAACCTCTTGTATCCTAGAAGCCCTGAGTGACAAGCCTCCACTTCGTTCATGCACTGCCCTAGAAAGTGGCACGGCGCTGTGGCTGAGGCCAAAACCAGCACCTCTCCGAGAACTGGCAAAGTTGGCTCGAGTGGCCATTGACTGTTGTGACATGGAAAAATCCCTATCCCCTTTCCAATGAAGCAGGAGCCGCCGTGCCACTTTCTTCCTGTTCCTTTCCCGGACATCAAGTGCAACGTATTCGCGGCTTTTAAGCTGTAGCAAAGTCGACTGCCACTGGCTCCAATAACGAGACTCGAGCGTTACTCCCCAGGCTTGTTCAGCACGGGTTTGCATCCCTGCGTGATCCTCTGACATCCTCTGCCACTCCCCGACCCACGCGGCTGTCAAAAGCCTGCCTGCTCCCCAGTCATTGCTGCTCTTGTCTCGCCATGCACACAGCATACGAGCGAGACGATCCCGATTCATCGCATCGTGATGTTGGTGCGTCTCCCAGCTAATATTACCATGAGCACGAGTAGCAATCTTCCACCGACTGAGATAGCCTTTGGTAAAGGTGGCCTTGACGTGTTGCCTGCATCGCGCATATGATTTTCGAGTATTGGACCTCCAGGAGGCCTTTGAGCGCCATGTCTTCAATGCATGCGTAACACTGACATAGAAACAGCCGCGCTTCGCCCACATATGGAGGCTTCTATTACGGGCAACGTCGACATGCCATGACTCTAGGGCCTTCTGAGCGCATTGATGCACCGCGAAATGTCGCGAAGTTGTGCTGATCTTGGCGACCGCTATAGTTTGCTGTTGCCAGTTTTCTAGGACCTTTGTCTTGAGCATGCGATCTGAAATGTTTCCGAAGTAGCTGCCCCCTCGCAGCGATCGGGGCAATTTGCGGCTAGTCTGATGATGATGGTTGACAGAGCTTCCATCGCCACAGCCGTTAGCTCGGCCAAGGGATGGTGGCGTCCGACAGGCGCTTTGCCACCTTGACAAGGAGTTGCGAATCAATCTTACTCCCATCCTGGCCCTGAAGATTTCGACCCGCGTTTCCAGATGCCACTGGCTCAGTGAATCGCGTACGACGTTGAAGCGACGGAATGATGAGACGTTTTTATGGTGCATTGCCACCTGACGGTGCCATGTCTTGATAGCTTGAGACTGCTCGTGTCTGTGATGTAGGGTATCCGAATGGGTGTGTAATTTTTGTACACTTGCGCACGCCGATTGCCAGTGTTGCAAATAGCTGTTCAGAGAACGGGGGGGATGTTGAGGTCGATTATCAGTCAGGCAGGAGGCGAACCACTTAGTGAGAAGGTTCTGGGCAAGTTTGCGCTGAGCATGAGCTGAGGCATAGTGCTCCATCACACTATCTTCATCGGCTCGTGTGAGCCAGAGGGCCATGAGACGAGCGGCGAAAACGCGGCGGCCTCTGAACCTAGTCTCAGCCGTCACGAGCTCCCACGAATCGAAGTGACGCATCCGCAGGATATGTCTCCTGGCCACGGCTGTTCGTTCGAGCCTGTCCAGGGCATGCTGTTTCCAGTGAGATATTCCTCTGAGGAGTAAGAGATACCCAGCCGCTTTTCCTGCTCGTCGTTCCAGTAGAGCATATCGCGCCTCCGCTCCCAGGTCTTCCTCTGGCTGTGGATCGACTACTTGTACCTCTACGCGATATTCGCCATGTTTATCAGAGTGGTTTTTAGCTGGCTGATCTTGCTCGGCAGGAGGTTCGACAGGTTGTTGAGTGACAGGTTGTTGGGTGACAGGTTCCTGGATGGCAACATCAGGCTCAGGAGATTGTTGAACATCAAGTGTGTGCCCCACCGGCTCTTTCGCCATGGGCCCAGCCTCAGACTGAGCAATTTCGCCTCCATCTTGAACCGGTTCAGTGGGGCTATCGGGAGGCAACAGCCAGTTCACCGTTCGCACAGGCTTGGACTTGACGGAGAGCGCGGGCGTCTCATTTCCGTTCTTCACTGGACGGGCGTTGAGGGCTTCGACGGGCTGAACCGTTGTGTCGCTTGCGCCACGTTGCTCGTTAGTACCGGCGAGTGACTGATGGCTAGGGTGGGTTTGCTCCGTGTCTCCAGCCGTAGACGGCGTATAGTTTTGTGGTGGTTTGATTTGTCTAGCGGGCTCTACGTTCGAATGGTTCGTTCCCGCACCCCCGTGTGTCAGCCTTGGGGGAGATGTGGAATCGTCCAAGTGATATGTCTCGGAAGGCTGTGAACGAGGGAGAGATGCGAACTCTTGCCGTTGGACTGGCTGGAAGACTGGGTGATGCTCTCCAGAAAGATCGTCCAAAGATGCGCCAGAGTTTTCATCTGTCGCCGTGAGGGCTGGTGATGGCTGGGAAGACCCTCTGTTGCTAGGGTCGTCGTGATACTCCGGGCCATCGTCGCGGTCTGACAGCACTCTGGAGCCGTCGCTGCGACTGTCAAACTCGAGTCCGATGCCCATCCTGGACAAGACGGCACGAAGTTTTTCCAGTAGAGATCCATCACCGCGCTCGCCGCCGATCCGGAAGACGAGGCGGGAAATGTGGTGGTCTTCCTCCGGGTCGACACCGTAGAGCGGTAGGACGGCATCGTATGCTTGGAATAGTGCGTTTGTTGCCAATCGTTCACCCTCGGGAAGGAGTTCGAGGTTCTCCTGCGCGGCCGCGACGACATCATGCAGAATAGCGATTTCTAGGAATTTTTGTCAGTCGCGTTGTGTTTGTAGTTTTGCAGTTCGCCGGACGCGTATATAAGCCGAAGCGCAGTGTCTACTGGCCCGAGGCGCACTTACCTTCGTCACTATAGTAGGAATCGGAGCTTTGGACAGACACGAAGCTGGATATGCCGTCACGGGGAGCCAGCGCTGGGCGATGCGGCAGCGACGGCATGTGAAATGAAGCCGAGCTGGGAGCATAATAAGGTGATGGTAAAATGGTTTGCAGTGGTGATAGGAGCTGGGTTTGCGAATGCAACCGTAGTCGCGTCGTTGATATCAGAATCCAAGGTTGGGTTAGAGGTATCGGAAGCCAAATATGCTAAATACATTTGATCGCGACAAAAGCGTGTCGTTGGCAAAAGCGAAAAAAGAGAGGGAAGGGCGTGTATCAGCCCAGAGAAAATTATGATGGACTTTAATGGGATGGGCGGGTGGGTGTTCAGCCGCGTTGCAAGAGATGCAGCAAAGTGCTATGAGAATGGGGATCAATGACGATGAACCGGGTGTGGCGCTTTTCAGCCTGCCATGTCCACCGCGCGCGAGTAGGTTGCAGGGGAATTGCAACTCTGCCGACGATGAGGGCGAGGGCGAAGGTCGAGCGAAGAAGGGTCGATGGGGGTGAGGTTCGAGATCAAAGACGGCGAACGGGGCCAAGTATTCATCAAGCTCCCCGACCTCCCGTTTTCTCTCACCTGGCACTGTCCCACCAAGCACAGTTTCTGTTTATTTTGCGTCCACGCTTTCTGCTGGGCGGTAGGCAACCCGGCCCCCAGTGGGTACGCTGTTGTTGACTGGGCTGCACTGTAATCCTAGTATCGCGACGGAATCCAATTCGCCAATGAGCTGCACCCTGTGTCAATGTGGTCCGAAACGTCTACCAAGGTACCACCTACACTACCGATCTAGGGCCCCGCCTCGGCTCAGTCTGTACTATTAAGCAGGACACTCGAGTATTCTCTCGCTCTCTTTTTTCTGGCTACAAGCATAAAACCACCAGCCACAACCCCTCTTGTACCATTCCTAAGACAACCCAAGCCTCGCCATCTACCTGTCTCCTTTGAGTGCCTTTTCATGAGGTGGATAGACAATAGAACCATTCACCCAGCTTTGCACAACACATACCCTCATCTTGCGTCGTACCGTATCTTATTCATCCACTTCACGGCTAGGTCTCTTGAAACCCTATAATTAAGACAAAGAAAGCCAAGCACCATGGTCCGCCCGCGGCCTATCCAGAAGTTCGCCGTCGCAGTTGGCCAATGCTCGGCTGAGGTCGGTTCCCTCCTTGAAATATCTTGAACATAAACATGGCCTTAGTGGCAAACGTGCTGAGCAATACGCAGGCCTCATTGTACGGAAAATGCATTGTTGCGGACTACAATGCCATCCACAAGGACAAGTGCTCGAAGGAATTTCTTAGGTTAAAGGATTGTTATCTGGTAAGCCCGCCATCAACTGATATCTCTCAACACACCTCTCATCGAGTCAATTGCATCACTAATACCGGTCCATCCATAGGCCGCCGCTCGACAGGCAAAATGAGCAGGCCAGAGACACAAAATATACCAATGAAATTGCAAGGGTCTATTTGATATTTCCCACTTATTGGGCCCGACGTCTTCATTGGCCATAGCCAGGAGTCATCTATTATGTCCAAGCTATGTCATGCAACCCCGACATATCGTTTCTACAACTCAAGCAGACGAAGCAAAAACGTCGCACGCTGCACCTCCTGCTCCTCTTCCATGATCACTCTCTTCTGCTGTGTACTCGGGACCTCACCCTCCACATCTGCAATCTCGTGCTTGTCAACCGGTCTTCGCAGCGCCTTTTCGATAACCTTGCTTTGCGACACGAACACCTCCTCGAGACCAATGTTGTCGGGATCGCTGATGACCTTGTACTCCATCTTGATGTCGTCAGTCGGCTGGAGCTGCGCCTTCTTTCTCAAGCGTTGCACACGGTTGATGACCTCTCGGGCAAGACCCTCGTGCGCGAGCTCAACATACAACTCCGCGTCCAAGATGGTAAGTACATCGTTGTCGGAGTTGGTCTCCAAGTTCTTGGAAGACTCGTCCTCCTTCAACCCCCGCCTCACTACAAGGTCGCCCTCCTCTAGCTTGATTCCATCGACAAGGATCTCTTTCTTCTCCGAGTATTCCTTGACAGCATCGCTGCTGAGAGTCGGCAGCGCCTTCTTGACGCGCGCCATGTCCTTCTTGAGCTTCTTGCCCAGCACTGGCCAGTCTGCAGTCACACTGTACTGGACATTATACTTGGCCTCGTCTGACGTGAGGACTAGGTCTCTGACATTCATCTCTTCCCTTATGTAGGATGATAGGGACCCAAGGTCCTCCAGGTACTGAGGGTCGCGGTGGATGACCACAAGCGTTTTAAGTGGCGTTTTGAGACCAACAGCCCTTCTCTCGCGAGAGACTCTCACCAAGTCGATGACCCTCTGCATTCTACCGACTCTGCGCTCAACAATTTCATCGAACAGCTCCTTCCGCACCTCGGGGAACGGTAGGAAGTGGACACTCCGCGCGTCCTCAGCCTCGGCCTCCTTAGGGATAAAGGGGCGCAGCTTCTGATATATGGTATCGGTGATGAAGGGGGTGAAGGGAGCAAGACCACGACACAGCGTGAAGAGAACTTCAAATAGCGTGTTGAGCGCATGCTGAGTATCCTGAACACCGTTCTCGCCCTTGAGACGTCTTCTGTTCAGCTTGATGTACCAATTTGTAGTGTTTTCAATGAGTCCGAGCAGACGCGGGACGACAGTGTAAAGGCGGTACGCTGGTGGATAGTTGGTATGTTAGTGGAGCTATAGATTCGAGAACGGAATACAACATACCACTCATCTCCTCATTGACGAACTGCAACAAACTCTGACAACTGGCCAAAATCCAGCGATCCATGACGTTTTCATTGCTTGCCAGAGCCTTAGGGTTCCAAGCGTAGTCGATGCTCTCGACCTTCTTCAGCAAGGACACCTGGCCCTCAAAGAATTTGTAACTGTTCCAGAGGGGCAGCAGAACCTTCTGCACAACCTCCTTCACGCCCGACTCCTTGAAGCGCAGGGGCTCAGCTCGCACAACAGGGGAGTTGATGAGGTAGAGACGCAGGGCATCAGAGCCGTACTTATCCATGACCAAATCAGGCACCGGATAATTCTTTAAACGCTTAGACATCTTCTTTCCGTCCTCCGCCAGAACTATGCCGTTGACAACGCAGTTCTTGAAGGGAATGCGGCCGAAGAGATGTGTGCCTAGTACGAGAAGGGTGTAGAACCAGCCCCTTGTTTGATCCAAGCCCTCGGCAATGAAGTCACCAGGAAAGGACTTCTCAAACTTGTCGACGTTCTCGAAGGGGTAGTGTTGACTTGCGTATGGCATGCTACCGGACTCAAACCAGCAGTCAAAGACTTCCTCGACACGTTTCAGGGTACCCTTTCCCATCTTACTGGGGATTGTGATGTGATCGATGTTGTCGCGATGAAGGTCAGTCAAGTCCCCAGTATAGCCACTCAATTCCCGCAGCTCCTTGATGCTACCGACGCACACCCGCTCTTCCATGTCCTCGCTGACCCAGAGAGGAATTGGGGTGCCCCAGTATCGGTTTCTCGAAACATTCCAGTCACGGGCATTCTCAATCCAACTGGCAAAGCGGCGCTCCTTGACGAAAGACGGCACCCAGTGCGAGCCCTTGATATTCTCTAGCATCTGGGGAACGATCTCAGGAATGCGAACGAACCAAGACGGGACCGCGCGGTAGATGAGAGGAGTATCGGATCGATAGCACATGGGGTACGAGTGCTTAAGCGTAGAATCAACCACGATCTTTCCGGCGGCCTTCAGGTGCTTGATGATATGCTTATCGGCCTCCTTAACATGCATGCCAACAAAGTCGGAAATGCGGCTCGTGAAGTGGCCGCTGTCGTCGATCGGATCGGGAGGGGGTCTGTTTTCGGTGACGATGCCTGCGGCCAGGGCGACGTTGTAATCGTCCTCGCCGAAAGCAGGCGCCTGATGAACAATGCCAGTACCGCTGTCATCAGTGACATACGTGGCATTCAAAACTCGGAATGCGACGTCCTTGTACTCGTCGTAGAAGTAATTGAATGGGGGCTCGTACTTCCATCCGATCATGTCTTTGCCCTTGATTTTTTCAAGAATCTTGAACTTTGCCTTCTTGATATCCTTGTAGAGAGTACCAAGGAGTTTCTCAAGTAGAATGTATTTCTTGCCAGACTTCTCGTCAACGATCTTGATGTACTCGAAGTCAGGGTGAGCAGCCAAGCCGAGATGAGACGGCAAGGTCCATGGAGTCGTCGTCCAAGCCAGCAAGTTGGTCTCGGGGTCGTCCTGCAAGGGGAATGTGATGACGATGGCAGGATCGTTAACATCTTGATAGTTTTGGTTGGCCTCAAAATTGCTCAGTGCTGTCGTCAAAGCCGTGGAATAGGGCATCACACGGTGTCCCTGGTATACGGCACCCTTGTCGAACAGCTGCTTGAAAACCCACCATTCAGACTCCATGAAGGAAGGATCCATAGTCTGGTAGGGCGCATGTCAGCATAAAGTGGCCGATAGAAAAGCGACGGTAAACAAAGCTTGCCTTATAGTCATTGTCAAAGTCGATCCAGCGACCGAGTCTCTCGACGGTATGACGCCACTCTTCGCTGTAGCGCATGACGATGGATCTACATTCGGCATTGTAATTCTTCAGGCCAAGCTTCATGACGGCGGCCTTGCCAGAGATACCCAGTTTCTTGTCAATTTCGTGCTCAATAGGCAGGCCGTGAGTGTCCCAGCCAAAACGCCTCTCGACGTGGAAGCCCTTCATGGACCAATATCTTGGGATAATGTCCTTGATGGTCGAGGCTAGCAGGTGGCCGTAGTGGGGAAGACCGGTAGCAAAGGGAGGGCCGTCGTAGAATGTGTAAAGGGGCTTGCCCGTGGTTAATTCAAGCTACAAGGAGATCGTCAGTATGGCGGCCAAACCGTATTTTAACACGAAGCAAGCTCACCTGGCGCTCAAAAGCTTTGATCTCGCGCCATCTCTGGAGCACAGCCTCCTCTTCCTTGGGGAAGTCGATAGACATGATTTCGACGGTGGGTGGTATCGGGGATCAAAGGCGAAGGCAGTGGGTGGCGGTAAGATTCATTCGCCGACGACCTTGGCCGTTGGTGTTTCGTTCAGACGAAGAGGGGTGAAGAACCTCCTGCCACCGGCCGATGTACGAAGTCGAGGTTTTGGAAGAGAGAAAGAAAACGGCTCTGGGGAAGTAGGAGGAAGGCTCAGGAGGGATGGAGTGACTCAAAGACCGAGAAACAATGCGCTCAGGATCTTTCGGTTGTGTGTGTGTGTGTGTGCGTGTGTGGCTTTGGAGGCAAGGTAGTTGGAGGGGTCACTGGCTCTTTTCGTGTGAGAGGTGAGTCAGTGGGGTAATTTTTTCCAATTGACTTATCTCGAGCGCGGGGCAATCGGTCGGATAGCGTATGTAGTGGCTTCACTATATATCAGCTTACTAATGTAACAGAGTTGCTGCTGCCAGTCTAATGCCAGACACAGACCCTGCAGCAGTATTGCCCACCTAAGGCACTAGACCAACCCAAAAGATGCCCAAACAAGCGAGGTACCTCTAGCCTCCAGGAGGTACCTGACCTACCTATCCAGGAGGTGTCTTGAGTCTCTGAGCAACCGCTGTCATCGCGCAAGCAACGCCGCCAAGTCCTCCCCGGCCAGAACGTCGCCCATTCACTCCATGACAGTTATAGTAAACAACACCCGACTCGACTTGATCTAACGCTACGTCGGTTGTCTTCCTCTCATCTGTTGGACCTCTTTCCCTCTCAATTGTGTATTACTCCATTGTGCTAGAAGCCAATATCAACCAAAATCCTACGCACACTTCGTCGACCAAGGCCTCTGACACAGTACCCCTCTCTTGAACGAACCGATCTCTGAGGCTAGTCATCCCCGGAGTCAGGTGCCATCATCGACAACTCTGATCAGGAGCTGCTCGTTACCTTCTGCACCCAACCGTCATCCACTCACAGCCCTCGTGCTCGACCGATTCGACTAGACTACTCTTGATCCCGTCCGTCAGGACTTCCGACAATCGCCGCAGAATCTCAAGCTACGCATCCTTGCTTCCGCTACCATGTCATTTCTCTTCGGCAGGGCCAGAACTAGGCCCGCCGTTGACCTACCCAAGCAGGCGAGAGATCATGTGACGAAGCTCGAAGGCCCAAATGGTGTCGCCAAGGTTCGATTCATGCTCTTCATATCGTCTAAACCTGTTCTCGAGCAGGACCACTAACGTGCTTCTGTTCCACAGGCCGAAGAGCTCGCCAAAGTCCTCAACCAGATGAAATTTACCCTACAAGGCACTCATGGTAACTATGCTCCTTGAGTTCTATACTTATTGCAGCTTGCAGCCCCCGACTGACATCGATACAGAGTCCGACAGCAGCCCCGAACAAATATATCAGCTCGTCAGTGGCCTTATTGAAGAAGACCTGCTCTACCTTCTTGCCGTAAACCTCTGGCGCCTACCCTTTGAGTCTCGCAAAGATACACAAGTCATTTTTTCCTACGTTTTCCGGTTCCGTCCACCCACCGCCTCTCCGAAGAGCGACCCTCTAGCCTTATCCTACGTCGTCAATAATCGCCCGCAAGTGCTGCTCGAGCTATGCCGAGGCTACGAACACAAGGAGAGCGCAACACCTGCCGGGACTGTCCTTCGCGAGGTCCTGAAATCGGAGGCCGCGGCAGCTATAATTTTATACGATGATGATGAGGAGTCTGGGTCCAGTAGCAAGGGTATCAACCTCATAGATAGGGACCGCCGACAGAGTGGCAACGGTGTCTTTTGGAGGTTCTTTGACTGGGTCGACAAGAGCTCCTTCGAGGTGGCGGCAGATGCTTTCACCACGTTCAGAGTGAGTTTTTATACTTTGCCAAAGAGACGATCGCTTAGACCTCTTTCGAAATCCTGTTTGTCTAACATTGCCTGTGCAATAGGAATTGCTCACAAAGCATAAGGAACTTGTTCCGAGATACCTGTCGGTCAACTTCGATCTATTCTTCGACAAGTACAATAACATCCTCGTACAGTCCAACAGTTATGTCACCAAGAGACAGTCTATCAAGCTCCTTGGCGAGATTCTGCTGGATCGATCGAACTATAGCGTTATGACCGCCTACGTAGATCGCGGGGAGCACCTCAAGATTTGCATGAACCTTCTCAGAGATGATCGCAAGATGGTGCAATACGAGGGCTTCCATGTCTTCAAGGTCTTTGTGGCTAACCCGCATAAGTCTATTGCCGTCCAAAAGATCTTGCTGATGAACCGGGAAAAGCTTCTCACTTTCTTGTCTCATTTCTTGGAAGACAGGACCGATGACGAGCAATTCATTGACGAAAGGGAATTCTTGATCAAACAGATCAGAAACATGCCGCCAAATCCAGTGGCGCCTCAGAGGCACGGCATGCCGGGTGGTGGTTAGAGGATGGCAAACATGCAGAAAAGAGTAGTTACCGTCTCATCATGTGGGGTTTGGAGACAGACTGGGCAAATAGTCTTTCCCGTTCTATGGGTTGTGGAAGAGCCGTATTTTGTGGTTGGATCAAGGCCGACGGTAAGGTTGTGCGGCAATGGAACATGCATTTGCGTCCGGCGTTCGAGGTGGCGTGGAACCTCCAAGCCAAGGCATCAAACATGAGGCTCATCAAGACTGTACCCAGCTACATTCGACAAATTGCAGCAAAGGGAGTTACCTGTTTTCTTGTTAATTTATTAATACCCTCCGGCACTCGCACCTCATTGCTGCTTTTCAGCTCATGCTTGTACTGCCCCCTTGAAATCCTCGCACCTACTCAGTGGTAGCCATTCTTCGACGACCAAAGCATTACCATACAATCGAGTTCCCCCGTCATCTCTCTTTATGGGCACAGGCGTTGAACAAGCCCATGCATGGCCTTGTATCCCAGACACTCGGCAACTTGCTCTGGGATCTACGCGGCCACTGACTTCTCCGCGTCAGACTTTGAGCCCGAGACTTCGGTAAAGGCCCAACCAGGGGCCAGAAAGTACACCCATATGACCATGTTCCTCAAGTGAAGTGACCTACGCCCGGCGAGATTCATGACAGCCGCCTTGCTAGCGTTGTAGGCAGGATTATTCGGTAGGTTCGTGATATCCTATCTGTAGCTTGTGATGGTAATGGCCGAATTGGACGACTGCATGTCTCTTACGGGCTATAAGACGTAGTAGGCTGCTGATGATGCCATCAATGATGTGGTACAAGTCGGTGTCGAGGATCTTGCGGGGGCTGATCGGCTCTTACCAGCTAGAGTTGCCTCCTGTCCTAGTGTAGACAACCAGGAGATTGATAAGTATCTAAGAAGCCGTAGTAGTAAGCTCTCGAAAAGTTTGGCATGCCAGTAGTTTATGCCCGAGAGGTCCACAAACCTCCGAATGAGCCAATCTCCGTGTCGCGATCGACAATGATGACCTTCATGCCGTGATGGTCACATACCTGGTCAATATCTAGACCGACACTCCCATCACCAACCGTGATAACGGGTAGAAGCGAAGATAGATGACATGTCGAATCTTGTGAAAGTGTCAGCAGGAAAACCATGCAATGCGTAAGATAGGCAGTCTCAGTCTTGGAGATCACATTCGCTCTAAGAAATCAAACGTCTCCAAATTGGAGCAATACTACCCAGCGGGATGCCATCATCGAGCCAGTCCCGTCTACAAGGAAAGCGCCGCAACGGAATTGGTTTAGCTTCATCACCGAACATCCCGCCCAATTAGAGACTCCGGCGCTAATACCTGGAAGGATCGGAACCGCACCCTTTGTGGAGAACTCCCCTGTCGATTATCCAATGCATTACGGGAGAATAAGTTGATATTGCACGTCGTCCAAAGCCAGCCTTAATCATTGACGTCCCTCATTCCTAGCCCCAGTCTTTTTATAAGGGTGCATCCCTTTCAATCGATCAGAATAGTACAATAACATGTGCTGAAGCTTGCCAAACTGACGTCGACACTATTACCTCGAAGCCTGCGTCGGCTGCTTAGCCAGCATGACGCTGACGCTCTCACGGGCGTTTGAAGACGTCCACGCGCTGTCCTTACCGCCGCGCCTCCAGTCGTCTCCGGTGGCGTCTTCACCGCCCCCTCTTGTGGCCTCTCCCATGATTACCTCAAGATCCCGCTTCTGAGAGCTCATCCAATTCCTCACGAAGTTGGCAGGGTCCTGGCTCATTGACGTAAAGAATGAGTGTTTTGCCTTGGAGCTGGCAACCGCCGAAATCAATGTCGCCAACTGCTCGTCCATGGCGACGACCTCCTTGAGGGCACTCGCATACGCAGGGTTCGTTACGAAGGGCGCAAGCTTGGCCCTTAGGGGGTCATCGATCGCTACCCGCACATCGTAGATGGTGGGCCGAGGATCCTTGTGGAATGCCTCGTCGACTCGAACGGTATACGGTAAACTGACGGGAGGTAGCGGTGAGAGGTGATGCTGGATGTAATCGTTCAGGTTGGGGATGATTCCAACATCACTGCCATTCACGATCTGCAACTGAGGTCAGTTTCTATGAACGATAGATCTTGAGATCGATATACACCCACCTTTTTCAGAAGCTCATCGCAGCGAAAATTGCGCTTCTCCTCGTCCTCCTGCAGTCCCATCATCTTGATATACTCCCAGACAGCCAGAACAGCCTCTTGGCGAGAAGCCTCCGTCATGTCCACGATGTCAGCCAGTTCTGAGCTGAGCAGATATCGCTCCGGGTCCTCCTGTCGGTAGAGGTTAATGGTGATGTTCATGTTTTCGTCCCCGCTGCGCTTGAAGGTGAACTCGTCGAATTCTGCGCCGGCTGCAGCGTTTGGTGAAGCAGGCTTTTTCCATTCAACGGTCTGGTCCGAGGCGGCCCTCGAGCGGGTGCGATCAAAGTCGACATTGAGGGCCTTGAAGAAATGGGAGAAGCGTTGTTTCTGAGTCGTAGGCGCGGAGCTTTGTCGCCTCGAGCTGACGGCGCCGTCCTCTTCTGTGCAATCTGCGTTCAGCGCGGACTTATCTGAGACATCTTCCTGCTCATCCTCGAGAAGGCGGCCTTCAATTTTGACCCTGTAGGAAGGCTCGGCGCTGGGTGTGAAGTCAAAACTATCGACACTAAGACCGCTTCCTTGCCATACCTGGTCCTCAACCGTGTTGCTGATCCAAACGCGAAGAGTTTTGTAGCGCTGGAACGAAGACTTTAGTCACGCTATCACGTAGAACAAACAGAATTTCCCAGTGAGGTGTTGCTGACCTTTGCGTTGCGACCAACAGTCTCGACAATGTCCAAGCGCTTGCGCGTCATTGTTGCGTCTAGCCGGCGTTCAAAGTCGCGCAGCTCTCTGTATCGCTGGGCGACCTCGATATCTGTAATGCAGTCCTCGACGCCATCAGGCAACGTTTTGTCGGTGGGCTTTCGGCTTCGGCGCTTCGCCAACTCGCTCGTAAGGGCCTGGCCAGGAGGGTGGTGCTGTGCCATGGCGGCCTGGTTCATGGCTGCTTGGGGATGGTGGCCCGGAGGCATAATGGGTCCTTTCGGCGGCATGGTTAGCTCAAGTTATCGTCGCTGTTACCTTGTTTTTTCTCTGTCGACGTGGAACTATCCAGAGGGTTTCGCAGAGCAATTTGGGCAGAATCGAAGGCAATGGGGAGGGAAAGGAACTTCAAGCCTCTGGAGGCTAAGGAAGGTAAAGAAGGAACGGGCATACCGATGCCGCCTCTCCGTTGATTTGGGGCATGTGGAGCCCGCTGGGGAACCTGCGGTGCGCCAGCATGGCTAACATATTGGCGATATTGGGGCTGCATTTGGGCAATGGCTTCCGATGGAATGTGCGTAGAGTGAAATCACTGATAATATGTCACTGAAAAGGTTTGATTGAAGTCGTTATCGAACGTCAGAAAGTGCGTCGTTTCCCCAAACGCGCATATGTAACAAAGTGAATGGACGGGCGGCGCAGGCGTCAGAAGCAGGGTGCAGGCGCGAGGCAGCGTCGGGGCCAGGCGCAATTGGCTCATAGGTGTAGTTACTGTAACCCAGCTCGCGTCTGATCCACTCTTTTCGCTACCTGACTTAGGTACCTAGCTAGGTATGGCGGCTTCAATCCTAAATGCCTTAGCCACTGGCCGAAGTGATGACCAAGCCACCTTTGGTCGAAATATTTAGCCTCACGTGCTTGGAAGCCGCTCACGAAGCTAGCGCAACCATCTTCATACGGCGAGTACCCTCCGTAGGCCATGTCAATTCTATCGCCACCCAATATGGGACCATCGTGTGCTAGAGCTAAGCATACGCATCATGGTAGCTCTCACACCGCAAAAGCGGGTTCTGCCCAATGATCATGTTGACCTCTCAAACTCCCAATGTTGGGATTCCTTCCACTAGGTGGTTTATGAGTATTTCCCGCCGAGTACTGAAACCGCAGAAATCCTCTGCCGAAAATGTAGAGTCGTCGAAGAGTGCATACCCGACGATACGCCACGCTCCCGAATGCTTACTGTCAAACCAAATTCCGTCGCATTACAACTTGTCGCGATTCTCACAAGTTTCCTATTTGCTTCCTGCTCGAAGCTTTGATGCTCGTCTCCTTTCCGAGGCCTGCGGTGTTGATAAGTATCTCATTTGATGGCGCAGCGCTTTTAAAGTCAGAATTGTTGGCCAAGTCCGTTCTTGGACTGCCGTTTGCTGAAACGATTGCGCTTGGTGTTGGAGGCCGGATCCTCCAGGCTGGCCTGGCTTTTGCTGAGGTGATTTCGACCAGACCGGTCGCTGACGCTGAAGCCGTCGGGGTATGCTCCTCGTCCGCCAAGGGTGCTCGATGGGCTAGAGACTGCAGAAGACATATCGAAGCCGCTGTCGCCTGCGTAAGAGCCGGTGAGGTTTTGGGACAATGCCAACTCCTTAGCTCTCTCTAGAGACTCTATCCAGTCGTTGGCAGTTGGGCCATTCTCTGAAGAGGTGGAATTGCCCTTGGGCTCCTCAAATGTGTAGTGGACACCACCCTGTCGAACTTTAGATAAGCGGGGAGAGATTCTTTCCAGGGGACTTACCACATCGACACACCAGACCGTCTGCCCCTTCATGTCGAGCTGAGCTCTCCATGAGCAGTCGGGAGCAAGTAGTGATATTTCCTGCTTGGCGCGCTTTTCCTCTCCACCGGCGGGCGCTAGGAGAATGCGACCGCTCGACGTCACCATGACTAGCCTTTGTCTCTTCTTCGTTGTGCTGCCGCCAAAGAATCTCGACAGCTTTTTATGCCCCTCGCCGTGCTCGCCGCTCCTGCCGTGACCGCCGCTGGGTAGAGGGCTCGAGACGACCATCAGGTCACCCAATTTGAGAATCCTCTCGTTGTTCTTTGTCAGAACTGGCGACCATTCGATGTCTAATTGAGTCGGAGGTGGAAGCTCTGTGATGATCCTGGCAGGCCGAGAGCTGCCATTCATAGCCGAGCTCTGTACCTGCGAACTTCTAGGTGCAGTAATAGGATTGGGGCTGTTGGCCACGCCATTAAGTTGGATTACAGTCGGTTCCTGAGGAATGGGGTTATAGGGCCGCAGGCGGGGTGCCTTAGTCCTCCACAAGCCTTTGCCAAACTGTTGCCCATCAAAGAACTCGTGATTCTTGACGTGCTCGACCGTGAGACGACGCGCGGGGTCCAAAACCAGGCATCGCTCGACCAGGTCCCGGGCCGCGGGGGGGAAGCCGGCAGGAAAATCGTATTCCAGATTGACAATTTTCTGAAATGTGAGGTATTCCGTGGCGGCCTTGAAGGGCGGACGGCCAGCTAACAGCTGGTATACAATGCAGCCGAATGCCCAAAGGTCACTCGCCTTGCAGGCGTTTTTGCTGGTCAGAAGTTCAGGGCTGACATACTCAGCAGTGCCGACGAATGAAGCTGCCCGGCCGTCATCTTCGACGTCACCACGGCTACTTTCCGACAGTCCCTTCGCGCCGTCGCCAACGTTTTGCGCATCTCTCGGGTCCTTGAGCAGCTTAGCCGTGCCAAAGTCGGTAATCTTGACGTGCATATGGTCATCCAGGAGGACATTTTCAGGCTTGAGATCCCGATGAATCACCCCCCTGGAGTGCATGTAATCAATGGCGTCTAAGATCTGTGCACCGTAGAACCTGGTACACTCCAAATCAAAAGAGCCTGTTTTCTTGAGCACTCCCAAAAGTTCGCCGCCGTTGCAAAGATCGAGGACATAATACAGCGAGGCCTCGTCCTGAAACGTGTAGTACAGCCGTACGATGCCCGGGTGTTCAGTCAGACGGTTGAGGGTGTTCTTCTCAATGTTGACGTACTTGATCTTCTTCTCCTTAATTATGTGCTTCTTCTCCAGGACCTTGATGGCGTATTCCTTAAGGGTCTGTCGGTCAGTGGCTAGATAGACCGTGCTGTATGAGCCTTCTCCGAGCACGCGGCCGAAGCTGAAGTCTCTAACTCCCTTCTTGACGTGTCGAATGACCGTCTTGCCGTTCGCATCTGTTTCTCTCCTCACACCGACAGCAGCACCGCGATCCTTCCACTCTTCACTGCTGGCCGGTAGCGGTATCTCAGGAGCGTACGGGTCCCGCGGTCCTAGGGGTGCTGCAGTTGCTGATACATAACCTCCACCCATGCCTTTGGAACTCCTCCGTAGGGGCAGGGGGCCAGATGCAGACGGCAACTGGGATTGACGAGCAGAATTGGCAGAGCGTTCTCTGTGGCTTGGCTCTCTCGTTGGTGTTGAGTTATCTGGGTAGCCTGGAACATTGCTCGAGTCTTGCCTCGCGAGCATCCCATATACCGAGCTCCGTGATCGGTCAGCCTGCGGATGCACTTGATGGGATGCCCGACCATCATCAGGCACAAGTGAGGGCTGAGTGTAGAGTCCAGAGATAGGGCGTGGTGCCGGAGACATCGAGGAGCGACTACTGGTAACTCTGTCAGGCTCCGAGTATGGCGATACGGGCTGGCGGTAGATATCCGCTCGCATTGCGGCACTGGGACTGGTTCGGTGGGTTTCAATGTGGCTCGACGAGCCATCGTAGGCAGAAGATGGCCTCTCAGACGATTGTGTGTGGTGTGTGGGGGACAGAAGACTGTCTGACGTCGGAGTTGATGCGTAGGACGTCGTGGCTCGTTGTGTGGTCGGGTCTTCAAGGTGTGCTAAAGGGGCATCGGATTGGCAATCGGGATGATGATCGGTCGGCGGCGAGAGGGTGTCGACATCTTGGGCATTGCTTGTAGAGGCATCGGCGTCGTCTGGATTGGCTATTCGTAATCCCCCGAGGGCCCTCGATAGACTGAGGTCCCCATTCATGATTCGTGTTCAAGGGTGAACAGCTGAAAGGGAAGGGGGGCAGGCGGGATGGAAGCAACAAAATGAAGATGGGTGGGGATGATTGATATTCCGAATAGGAGTGAAAGTAGGGGGAAAATAATAACGAGTGTGGCTCGGGATACCTCGTGTGATGAACAGAGTGAAGTGAGGTGAAGGACGACGCAGCGCAGCACAAGAAAAAACGGATAGGAGGGAAGTGAGGTCAGTCGGATGCAAATGTCAGGTAGAGTTGGGTCAGGCGAGTGAGGATTGTAGTAGTCAACCACCTCTCCAAACGTCCGATTCAAGTTTGATTTAGGTTCAGTTTCTGTAGTGCCGTTGCTGTGGTACGTGTTCAGTGAGAGTGTGCACAACCCACCAGAGTGCACTAGGTTGATAGCTGGTGTCAGGTACCTACCCGATGCAGACCACAACACAAGAGGTAGCTGTCTGGTGATGGCGGTGCAGTAACATACCTAGGCAGCCCATTAAATGTCGACAGTAATCGCTGCAGGTAATGCAGCGATTTGGCGGTGGTTCAGTGGCAAGGTACTAACGTGGTAGGGGCTCAAGAGTGTGAGCCTTGATTGGACGGTGAAGCTGGGGTTAGGTACGTTCCTTGTCCACAGCTGCCCCCTCTCCCCTCGTTCTTTTCTCTCACGGTACCTAGGTAAGGTAGGTTCACAATTCAGTGCAGCGTTTAAAGAAATCAAACACAAATCAGTGAGATAGGTGTTCTAGAATACATACACTGGAAACAACAGGATCAATTGGTTTATTGGTTCTTCGAGTTGGAAGATGTCATGTGTCCTGGCTCACGGCTCCTATGCACCTTACTTATCAGCTATTCAACACGAGGCCAAAGGAGCTCCACCCTGAATATGGAGCAGAAGGGACCTGACTTGAGTCTTCGCTTTTGGACGCCTGGCTCTTGGGGAGTGGCATCACAAGTGGATAGTGGAGATTGAAGAGAATGAGCTCAGCCTTGCTTGCCTATTTGGGGTAGAGGGCACTTGTGCCTTGAGAAGTTGAGAACATGGAACTCTAGCATATCTACTACATTAGACTTATCGATCACAACTTCCCAAGCAACAGTTCAGACAGATGTGCAAATTCAGGAGTCGCACATACGCGGAACACGTAGTTTGATTATACTTGTAGACTAGAAACTCAGGCCATTGGGTGGAAAGCAACTGCATGGGTAGTTACCTAGTGGTCGATGCCGGAAATGTGTGGCTTTAGGGAACAAGGCGTTCGTTAGTGATTTCCGGTTCCAAGGGATTGCGCTCTTTTTTGCCTCAGTCTGGACATCCACCTCACTTGCCATGTCTGCCCGGTTTTAATCATCATATGACAATTCAACATGCGCAGCTTCCCCGTATTCCTGACTATTACGAAACGGCTTAAGGGATTTCCGCTGCCTTCGACACGACAAGGTATCCATCCAACTATTCGACGCTCTAAAACACCTACCCGCCTATCAATGTGATATTCCACCACCAACACCATAGTTCAAAAAGGACCCTAGTATTGACTTTTCCTAACCCCTGACAAGAAGGACGTACTTTGACATGCTGCGACTGGACGCGACGGTTATCCGCCTGTCTCTCTCAGAAATCAATGATTACGGACGAAACCGTCATTCCAAGGACCAGTGTAGAAGAAGAGCCGATACCGATCAGTTGAGCACAACGATATCTCCCAAAACAGGATGGCGGTCATTGTACGAGGCTATAGACTCCCCGCTCACGTATCCTTCTAACAGAATGCCTCTTGTTTTGCCGCACAATCTCTCTACTGCATCAGAAGGACTCGAGATTTCTACCGGTGGCGGCAACGGCAGCGGCGGCGACCATAACGATAAGAACAACAACCACAACAAGGCCGACAAACCATCCAGCATCGATGCCAACGAGACCATGGCAATGACCATCGAGCAGCATACCGACCCTACAGGGTGTACATTTATCCCAAGGCCGCCACTCCCTCCTCCGTTCGCTGCAACACCAAGAGTATCTTCGCCACTCTACCAGCCCAGCACGGTATGTTGGCGCCGAAATTTGTTATTGAGTGTGCAACCGGCTAACCGGTATCATCCAACAGCCGATCCGGTTATCAAGAGCCATCGAACTGAAAGAGGCGATCCACGTCGCTCCGCCCGCGCTTATTAGCCCTTCAGCACGATCGCCAACTCTTACATCTCCATATGGTCCCGGCACACATCATACCGCTGCAGTGACAGCATCGTTACAACGACTAGTTATCTACGACGACACGGTCGCGGCAGAAGCCCAGCCTCAGACGCCGAGGAATGTCCCCGAGGTCCGGCATGAGAGCCGGTCCCACGGGTCCTACACGGCACCAAGCTCTCGAACATTTACCTTGGAAACATCCACACTCGCTTCAAGGTCACATCGTCATCGTCGTCGAGCAGAAGCAAGAAGCCCCGCCAGAATGAACACCCCCGGGTTTGTTGGGCTCTATGGCGGCTTGGAGAATTCCGACGAAGCAGTTTTGTACGATGCGGAAATGTGGCGTTGGCTTGCAAGTCATCGGGATGTATGAGGCAGACAACAAGAAGGGCCCGGGGGATGTTTGATCAAGACTGGCATTGGTTACAAAGTGTGCATTGGTAGATGCACCTGGGAGACTGAAAATGGGCTTGAATCTATGTCAAGGCACCAGTAGACAGACGCAGAAGTGGAGTTTGTGGTGATGATATGTGGGAGCAGCAAAGTGAGGCAATACCGTTGTATTGGCGATAACTGTGATGTGAAGCTAACTAGGAGTGGGCTGCCCGCAGTGGGCAGAGGCTAGCCAAGAAGGAGGTGGAGGTAGGTCATGTGACCCATAGGCTCCTCCACCAACACTCCCCCTTAGGCTCTGCCAGCCTACTCCTATATATTATAACAATAGTAGCAAATAACTGCCTAACCTTAAATCCTCTAAATCTAAGGAGTTTTTAAAGTATATAATAACTTTAGTAAAAGGCTAGTAATTTGCCTATTTAGTCTAGCAATAATTTATCTATACGCTAATAAGCCTATATAATCTATATAACCTATTATTTATATAGTCTATCTATATACTTATATAACCTATTAATCTAATTTATTTACTATACCTAGTAGTCTAATAAAATCCTTATATTTATTTAAGGCTA